TGTGTGGGGGGGGGGGGGCTTCGTGCTGTTTGTGGGCTCTGTTTGCTGGTTTGAAGCAATCATGCTTGGAGGCCTCCTGATTGGCAAAGCTGGTGTCTTGTTGATGATAGCTGTGTTTGGAAAGTAGTGCAGCATTATTAATGTTAAAACCGGTTTGGCTTGTCCTGCTGCCATTGATCCCCGAGGCCTGTTCTTTCTGCTCTTTGCCCAGTTTCTCATCTGTCCCTCCCAATCAAATCAAGGCATGGCTATCTGCACGTTTTACTTTATTTTTTACCTCCTGACTGGGAAAACTCACGGGGCAGCTGAACGTGTGAAGCAAATTCTTGCTTTGCTTCAGCCTCCCTAAAATACAGAGCAGCAAAATGACAGTCTTAAGGTAATGTCCCTTAGTCCTGAAGGGAAGGAGCCCGGGACTTCTGGTAGCTGAACCTAGAGCTGTATATTGGGTTGAAAAGGAAGAAATAGCCTGTTTAGCACCTGGGACCTTGCTGAACAGCATGCACAATTCATGGGGTAGGTGCTCAGGGGTGCACAGTTCCTCTGCAGCCCAGCACCTCCAGACTGGATGTGGAGGTGCCTGCATGGTGGCAGCAGTCACCCCCACAGCTCTTGGGGCGCAGACAGGGAGACTCTGCTGCTGCCCAGTTCTCATCTGTCCTGAGTGCCTGCCAGAACACATGCTGGAGAGCACTTTTTGTGTGGCTCAGAGTTTTCCAAACAGCTTACGCAAGAGGCGCATCAGGGCTGAACTTGGTACTTTTCAAACTCAGGATACCAGAGACTCAAGCACTCTCTGAAGTTAAGGCTGTTGGCCAACATGATTGCTCTCTTTCCTGCCCCTCCTGTTGTGTCCCAAGGCCTTGGCACTTCGAGGTCCTGCAAAGGTCTTTATCCAGTCCAACAACAGTGAAAGTGTTTTTTTAATGTGTTTCACCCTCTGCCCTTCCCTCCAAGCCTTTTAGCAGCTCTACTGTTGTCTGGAGCTGTTTAAATGGTTGGGGTGGAGAGGCCATTTGCTGCCCTCAGATGCCTGAAGCGGAGCCTAATGTGACCTTGCCATGGTTTTCCTGTGGCTGCTTTACTGCTTGCTTGATACACTTATGTCTCACTTCCACTACAGAGCTGGAAGCTGCTAACTTGACTTTCAGAGTGATGATGGAGAGGGGGCCTCTGGCTGGCTGCTCAGCATG